TCGAGAGTTACCTGTTCGCGCAGGAGAGCGGACCACGCCATGCAAGCAGCGTTCGAACCATTTTCTTTGCACAAAGGAACAGTCCAGCGGACGCAGTTTGCCTCGAATGGTGCCCGCGGCAGCGGCTCCTCAGCCGCTGACTCAAATAATGCATCCACAAACTTTCTTTTGCCTCTGTGGGGTAGGTGGCTCTCCCTTGCGGAGACGCTGCCGTGGCCTGTGGCAGATGCAGCACCCCCAAAAGAGCCACACTTCGTGGCATTGAAGTTTTTCTCCTGCACGCTTCGCGTCTGCCAAGTCTGGAGAGAGAAGGTGCGAAGGGGAAAGCGGAGCTTCTGAGGAGGCTGTGCATTCGGGAAGCAAGGTTTTCGCGGGCACCCTTCGTTCTCCATCTGCTTCGCTCCAGGCTGGTTGGTTGGTTGGCACTGGCTGATCAGGAGTGTCTTTGCATCGATTCTCTCCGGGCTGATCATTGCCTGTCCAAGAGTTACCAATTGCTTTTGAATCAATGGATTCCTTGCGCGCAGGCCCAGGGGATGCTGCCGCGCGTCTCGCGGTTCCTCTGGTTGGGGTTCGGATCGTCCCCACGCAGCCGAGATCCACGTCCTCTGTCCACACAGTCTCCGCCTTCTCCATCTTGGGGCGCTCGGGCCAGATCTCGTCGCCCATTACTCAGCAATCCTGGGGCGCTCAGGTGCCGTCCGCTCGCGCAGAGCGGCACGGAGCTGTGCATCTTGGGTCGCGGTGTGCGGTCGGCCGCTGCGCCGGCGCACCGTGCGCTCAGATGCGCGACCAAGCAACCCTGTGACGCTCAGGTGCCGTCCGCTCGCGCAGAGCGGCACGGAGCTGTGCATCTTGGGTCGCGGTGTGCGGTCGGCCTTCGCGCTGGCGCACCGTGCGCTCAGTTGCGCGACCAAGCAACCCTGTGACGCTCAGGTGCCGTCCGCTCGCGCAGAGCGGCACGGAGCTGCATCTTGGGTTGCGGTGTGCGGTCGGCCTTCGCGCTGGCGCACCGTGCGCTCAGTTGCGCGACCAAGCAACCCTGTGACTCAGGTGCCGTCCGCTCGCGCAGAGCGGCATGGAGCTATGCATCTTGGGTCGCGGTGTGCGGTCGGCCGCTGCGCCGGCGCACCGTGCGCTCAGCTTCACAACCAAGCAACCCTGTGACGCTGAGGTGCCGTCCGCTCGCGCAGAGCGGCTCGGAGCTGATATTCTGATGTGTTTTCTGAGTTTCTCTTGTCTTGCTATTTTGTTCTCGCTTTTCCTTGCTTATTATTTTTCTCGCGCGCGGGCTTGGGTTGGTTTGGGCTGCATTTCTCGCGGTCCCTCCCGCCCTCCCCGCGTGGCGAACGTGCTGGCCGCAATCCGCTTCCCTTCGGGGGGGTAGGTGGCGCTCCCTTGCGGAGACGCTGCCGTGGCCTGTGGCAGATGCAGCACCCCCAAAAGAGCCACACTTCGTGGCATTGAAGTTTTTCTCCTGCACGCTTCGCGTCTGCCAAGTCTGGAGAGAGAAGGTGCGAAGGGGAAACGGGAGCTTCTCGGGTCTCTCTGGAGCCCTTTGGGGGACTTCTTGGGGCGTCGCGGAGGCCTCCCGGGAGTCTCTTGGGGCCTCCTGGGGGCCTCTTGGGGCAGAGAGCGCCTCTGTTCGGGCATTTGGGGGACTCTCTGGAGCCTCCTGGGAATATCGTGGGCCAGCTTGGGAGCCTCTGGGAGGGTCCCAGGCCCCTTCTGAACACTCTTGGAGCCCTCAAGGCCCCCCCCAGCCCCCCATTCGAACCAGAGGTCGCCGTTCTGGGCCCATCCCGCCACCGTGTCTGGGTTGTGGGTTAGAGGCTTCTCGGATGTTCGCTGGGAGGATATCGTGGGATGCCTCTCGGGGGGCCTTTTGGAAGCAGGTTTGAAGCCTCCACGGGGGCGTTGTGGAGCTTGTCGGACCTCTCTTCAGCATCTTTGGGGCCTCTTTGGGGGCGGGAAGCTCGAAAGGTCGGTTCGCGTTCCCTCTCTTGTGCCCATCTTGGAGACATCTTCAGGCCCTCTTCAGGTCCTCTTGGGCCGATCATGCGGCCCTGTTGGGGGCCTCTTGGGGCGACGATTGAGGCTTCTTGGGCAGTCTTGGAGTGTCGGCCGCTCGAAAACGTAAGAAAGCAAACCAGATAGGAAAACAAAACGAAAATTTATGATTTTGGCGTTTTGGGGCTCTCTTGGAGGTCCCCGCGGAGCGACCTTGGGGCCTCTTGGGGCCTCTTGGGCCGATCATGGGGCCATCTTGGGCGGCTTGGAGCGCTCTTGGGCCGCCAAGACTTGCCGTCTCCAAAAGCCTAAGTGGACGCCTCGGGGAAGCGGAAAAAGCTCCGGGACTCCGAAAACTGGCCCCTGGACGCCAAAAAAAGGCACCCGCAGCCCCAGGGGGCAAGTTCGGTTACGGGGGCGGGGAGGGGGGAGTTTGGGAAAAGTGTGCGCCCCTGGGCCGCGGAGCCCCTCCTCCTCCTCCTCCTCCTCC